ATTTATGATAGTTGCAATGTCCCGACATCATGTGATCCCCTTTTGCGACCTTCTGACAAGCAAAGTCAATTGGGGAAGCCAGATTCACTGAACAACTGTGTTACTAACTTAACAACTGCAGCAGTTCACTTAACTGTGACAAGGAAGATTGTAAAATAGGGCAAAATTCACTTAACTGTCTTGCTTAGCAACAGATATTTTGGGCTCAATTGATTAGTTTATGCACCAGACACAAATTCCTTGTGTGTCCAATCACACGTGGCCAATAAAGAATATATTCTATTCTATTCTATTGTAGTCGTAGGTCAACGACTACCTGTACATTTCCCCCCTTCTCCAGAGTAAAGCACTTCCCTACTGCCCTTCTCTTGGCCGACTTTCAAGGGCTTTTCCTAAAACCCCTCAAGGCGGGAGGCACAGGGAGCAACCCATAACTTTGCCCTACCTGAAGATATTCAAGAGGAGACCCTTTATCACCCTCCATGTAATTAAAATGCCCATGAAAATCTAATTTGTGCGTGCATGAGACAAGCAAAGCGGTCTGCGCAAAATTGCAAAATCCATAGTTTTGCTAGGAACTGCAAAAAACTAGGAACAAACTGAAAGCAGACAGTTTCAAGCAAGCTCTGAGGCAAAAAAGCACAAACACAGCACCTTCAAACACAGTATACAGCCCAACCCCCTTGTAGCTAGGCAACCAGAGGCCATCGCATACCAGAGCCAATGGACCTGGCCTTGGAGATAACTGCAGTTGCAAAGCTGCAATGTAATCATCACAGTTCCTTTCCCCCTATTCTATGGCAGCAAGCAACAGGCGGATATTCGGCCCCCAGTAACAGAGGCATTAGCCATACAGAATTTATACAGTTAAAACATACATCACACCAAAAACAGCGATTTCATCAGGTTTTTTGGGGGTCTTTTCTATGGAAAGTCTGGAGGAGTTTAGGCACCTGGACATGTTTAGCATCCACCCATTCGGACTGCGCAGGGGGGAAATGTTTCCAGGCAATGAGATATTGGACTATGTTTCCTGGAATCTAGAATCTTTAACTTCAAAATGGGTACAGGAGGAGTGTCAGGTGCAGGGCGAAGGGGTGATAGGGTTTCAGGTTTCAACAAACTGCAGTGAAAGACGGTAAATATGCTTGAGGTTCTTGGGCAACTCCAGTTGTACAGTGACTGGGTTAATTACTTTAACAATTGGGAATGGGCCCACGTATTTAGCACCAAGTTTCTTAGATGATTGGGTGGACTGTAAGTTCTTTGTGGAGAGGTAAACTCTGTCACCTACTTTAAAATCTTTTGGGGTCACATGTATTTTTCAGCTTGTTTCTTATGTGCCTGATGTGCCTCCTCCAGTGCCTTATGGGCAACTGGTCAAGTGTTCTGCAGTTGAGCTATCCACTCTGCTAAGGAGGGTAACGTGTGGTTTCTCTTGTGGCAGCTCTGGCATAGCTACAAAGTCTTGACCGAAGGCCACTTTAAATGGGGTGAACCCTGTGCTACTATGCACAGAATTGTTATATGCTACCACTGCAAAAGGGAAAAGGTCAGCCCAATTGTTCTATTGGTAATTAATGTAGCACCTTGAGGTACTGTTCCAGGACTGTGTTAGTTCTCTCACAAACCCCATTAGTTTGGGGGTGATGGGAGGAGCTTAAGCCCTGAGTGGTTCCCGACAGCTTCAATGTGCTCAGGCGCACCATGCAACCTTTACACATGTTGTACAAAGAGTTTAGCTAACATTTCTGCAGAGGGAATTTTGGGGCAGGGAACAAAGTGCACCTGTATGGTGGACTGACATTCGAAATGAGACACAGGGAAATGTCTGAGAAAATGCCAGCCCTGAGTGAACTCAGGCAGCAGTATTTATTGAGAAAAAACACAAGCAAAAATACAGTCTGCATATTCAGAAAGCAATGACCTCAACAGGAGATTACTTCACCAGCATGAGAACACACAATCTTGGAAAGTCCCAGATGTTACCTTACTAGGATGAGATCATACAGCCACGGAAAGTCTCATGGGAAAGTTTGGAAAGTCCCATGAGAAAGCACAACTGTGTATCTTGAACTTTTACCTATTTTCCTGTTCCTTCTAAACTTGCAGAATCAAACAGGATGAGACACTCATGAGCAAAGGTACTCCTACCCCCACCAAGAATGTCTATATCCCTAGACTTATTGCTAGTATTCAAAGGCCTTACAGAAAATGATAAAATGATCAATAGATTATATTACCACATTCCCTCCTTTTTTATTTATTCAAAGATAGGGGGTGTTTTAGTGGCATAGTACACAGTTCCCTCATGACCTGATCCCACACGCCGGAAGACTGAGGTACACATTTGTAATAGATTAGGAATACATTGAATAAAACAACATAATAAGATACATATAGCAATAATAATAACAACCCCTTGCAATAAGGAGCGAAACCATGATCCATCAGGAAGCCAGGACCACAGACTGTCCCAGAATGATGCATTAAACCCATCGGCTCCAGATTGATGCTGAGCAATACGATCTTCCATGTCCTGAACAGTCTTTGTAATGTTTGGCTCATAATTATGTATAAAAACACAGCAATGCGAATGAATTAAAGCACAAACTCCTCCTTGGGCAGCTAACATAATATCTAAAGCATATCGATTTTGCAAAGTAACTTTACGAATTTCAGACATTTCTACATTAATCATCTTAATATTCTTTATAGTATCATTAAACATAGCAACAGTAAAAATTTTTAAAATATGAATATCCCTATAGTTCATAGCAATTCCCAAAGGCGGGATGAGACCTCGAGAAATTTGTGTCCATAGATTACCTCCCATGGTTAGACCTGAATCCAATTCCCGACGATTTCGGATCCGAGTATCTGAAGGAAGTGAATCCAGCTTATAGATAACAGGAACTACCATACCCACTGTACAAACCCCTGTCCAATTTTTTGGCCATTGCTGATAAGCTGTGTCTCCACACAGCAGCCATAGACCATCAGGAAGGGGAAAATAGACCACATTTCTCAGATTTGTATTGGCCGCAGCCTGACTTTCCCACTTCCACATCAACCACATCCAATTACAAAGAACACATGCCCCGTGTGTAATTCCCTTCATTTTAGTAGTTGTTCTATTAACACAGCAGTCATCGGCGATGGACAGAGCCTTAGACAACGAACTGGATGTTCTTGAATTGTTGACACAGCCTGGAACAGAAATGTTCCTTGCCTCTTCCCCTTTAGTAATAGCAGCACACTCCATACAACCTCCTTCCATAAGCACTACCGTTTTACAAAGGGTACTATTACCTAACTCAATAGAGTTTGCAACTGGAGGGCGATAGTAACAAACCGAAGCTGTCGTGGTAAAGGTCACCTTAGCCATATACAAAGTCTGATTTTTCTTTGTTGGATCAGGATTCCAATAAACAAAATTGTTATATGTGCTCAAATTCTGACTTTTAGACTCATCCAAAGGAATAGCATGCAACAATACACCACCCTCCCCAGTTCCTGGCACATGCATGCAA